CAACTCATTATTATCATCAGCAAAAGATGGAGAGCATGGAAGAATCCCTGCCTGTATACCAAATGGAATGCAATTGATTGACTTAGGGCATTTCTAAATATATATAAAGAACATAGCATGTGCTTTTACAATCATGCCGTATTGGAAGCAGAGCATAAGGGAGAAAGGATAGCTCCAGTCACGTGCTTCTGGCTTTCTTTATCGTAGGGTCATCAGCTCAGGGCCAGGTTGCCACAAAGTGCTCAATGACCCATGGGAAATGAATCATGTCTTCATTCCAGGGCTTAATATATGCATTACATCACTATTAGAAGCAAGCGACTCTGTGGTTGTTGGCTCCAGCGTGGATTAAGGTCAAAAGTGGCCCCGGAGGCCGAATTCCCTAGTGAGGGTTTGCCACACAGCTCCATGTGCCCTTTGCTTCTGAATTCTTTCTTCTCCTAGCAACAACTACTAAACACCAAGCTTCCCAGGCTGGTATTATGTCTACATCAAGTTTATTCTTCTTGCAAAGAACTGGAGAACTACAAGTGAGACTCTTATTACGAGTTAAATTGTGTTACACCCAACTTGTGGTGAGGGTCCAGTTTCTTTCTATTATGCTCCAATTTTGTTGTAATGACGATTGCTTGAAGTAAATGGGCAATTGACAGGGGCTTAGACATAACAGGGATGCTTAAGTGATTTTTAGAGTGGCAGTACTTGCTGTAACAAAATTTGACCTGTAGGTTGGTTATTAGTTTTATTCATCACATCGGAAACTTGGCACTTCCACTGTTCATGCCATTATGTAGCATGAAAGTCACTTATAAAGCTATGAAAAAAAACTAAACACAAGAGGCTCATGGAACAATAAAACCTCAGGTAGGGGGATGTTTTCTTTTGTTTAGCTAAATGTTCTGGGTAGTCAAAGGTTTATTCCTTCTAACCCCTAAAATGTGTTTGTTCTGTTGTTTTTTGTTTGTTTTACAAATTCTTGCCTTCTGAATACAGTTTCTTTAGGTGTGGAACTCAGGGTCATCATTTGGAATATAGTTATACTGTCGTATGACACAATGAGGCTTTTAGGGACTGAGATGCGTAGAGAGCTGTTTTGGCACTAAATGTCCCCCTAAAACACTACTTTTGGAGCTCTTCAGGCTACTTAACATTTTTTGTCTTCTCTCTTCCTGCCAGCTCTTTTTCCTTTTTGACCTGTTTCCCCTAGAAGCCTGCTTCTCACCCTTAAATTTAATCTGCTGTAGGCTTGGAAACCAGACAGCAAACATTCAGAATTATGTGTGAGGTAGGGGTAAGTAGGTTCTAAGTGGATGCTTTATGGGTAGCTATAGGACCTTTCTCTCAGGTTTTGTTTCATAATATTTATTTCAGCTGGTCAGCAGCCTTGTTGCTTGGTTCCTAGTTCTCAAGTCATTGTTGAATGGGTCCTGCAGAGGTTCCAGATGTTTCTGGTTGTCTCAATTACTCATTGTCAGACCACTTGTTTGGGCTTCGTGTTTGGGCAACAGGGCTATGTGAAGCTGATGGTCAAGCTGAAGGGAAAGGACTGAACCCCGAAAATGGTGTGACGCCGTGGGCCCGTTTTGTAAGGTAAGCGTTGTATCGTGGCCATGATGTCTAAAATCAACAAATGAACTAAAAAGTAGACAAGCTCCTTTGGCCGTCCTTTCCCAATAGTACAAAAGCTGGCCCAGTGTCAAGCTGTTGAAGATGCCGTCGACATGTTTAATTACAGATTCAGTGTCAGAGCTGCCTGGCTTTTGAGATTCCAAGTTGGTGGCAAGCGAAACCATACTTTTCTCTGTCCTGGTGATTTCATTATTTATGGCCTTGGAATAAAGAAGATAAAGCACGTCTAATAGTTCCCTCCTTCCAAAAGTGTAGTTTCAGGTAAGGGGAGGATTTCATTGCTATCCTTAGCCCTCCTCCCCTCACTGTACATCGCACTTGCATACTGTACAGAACAGAGCCTATAAAAGGGCAAGTTCCTTTGCCCCAAGGCCATATGACACATGTATGGGAGTGGGGGTGGTGATGTTATCCACCAATAAAGGTGGAATTAGTGGAGCTACGACAGATTAACGGCAGGGCTTGAGAGGTCAGCTAGACCTGGGTTTAAATTCTAGTTTCCCATTTATTAGGTGTGAACTTGGGCATAATATTTAACTCTCTAATTCTGATTCCTGAGCAATAAAATAGGGGATAATAGTGCTGTGAGAATTAAATAATATGAAAAGCAACAAAGACAGTGCCTAGTCCAGAGAAAGAGCTCACTAAATGATAGCTACTTTTATTAACAAAAATGAATGAGTTTTAACCTGGAGACTTTAATATTTAACAAGGACAGATACTCAGCAAGCCAGTTATTACAGTTATTAACTTCCAGCAGGCTTTTGTTTTTCTTTTCTTTTCCGTGACATCTTCTCTTATGAAAACTGGCAGCCGGACTTTCTGCTGGGCGTACCTACCTCTGGTGCCTTGTTAAGGGCTGGAGATAGTCCAGACGAGCTGCAATGTCACCATTTTATGAGTGTGCCGGAAATGGGGCCATCTGTGAGCTGGACCAAGCAAAGATCAATGACCCAAAATAGAGTTGTAGCTTTCAGAGGGGAAGGCGATAAAATGACCAAGGGCTGGGGCAGTGGGATGCGGTGTTGAGATCCTGGCACCAGGAAGTAGGGAAGAAAACCTCCAAACACATTGTGGTTTATTCAAACACTGAGACTTCCCAGTGCCACAGTGCTTGGCTATCCCATCCCACCAGGCAGAAGTGTCCTCAGCAGCTGAGGACAGGAAGTAGGGCCCATTGATTGCTAGAGGAGACAGAGAGTCTGCGATCCTGGTTTATCGGTGTGGCTCAGTGGGTGACCTGGAGTAACTGAGCCATCTCCCCATCTTGGATAATTTCTCCTAAGTTCAGACAGTCCCCAGCTAATTACAGGAGTCTGATGGAGACCAATTTGTGAAAAGTAAACTTAGAGCAGGGTTCACAAACCACAGTTCCTCCAGACATACCTGCTGGGGGTTTTAGGATGGCTTTTAAAAACATACATTTTAATGCCTTTAGGCAGAACTTGACTTTCTAATCCACACCTTATCTACTGTCTTGGGTTTTCATAGTTTGCCTCTGAGTATATGACTTGGTTTCAATGCAACTTCTGGTGCTTATATTACAAACTGGACTAGAATTGCTTCATTTGTAACTTAATTCTCTCTCTTCATCAATTACATCAAATGTGTACCTCTCAGGTCCTACAAAGAAGTTTTTGCTGGCCTATCTGTAATTTGCTCTATGAAGATTTTTTTCTAGAAAATATGTTAAAAATTAAAATTTGACCTTCCCTCTGATTAATCCAAATTGTAAAGCTTTATTATTTGAAAACATCATTCAGGACCAAGTATTCTTTAGGTTATAGTCGACTTTGCTCAGAAAATTTAACCGAGGCAGAGACTGTTTTACTCTGAGAAGAAAACATATCAACATAACTCTAAATAATAATGACTTTTAGTCCGTCCTTCTGCAACTTCCCAGAGATCTCTTAAGCTACCCCAGAGACGTCAGGAGTAAATGAGACTCCCACATCCAATAACAAGTACCCTCCTCTCCAGCATTACCACACTTAAGAATGCAGACCATCATGAATATTTACACCTAGCAGGGTCCTTTGTGCCCGACGCTGAGAGACAAATGGTATTTCCAGTAATAGTTTATTGATTTCCAAATGCACAGGGGCGCTGAGTCCAAACATCCTGGGATAGCGGTAAATCTCTCTTACAAAATAATTTACAGTATGAAAATGATATACTGAAACATTAACTCAAATGCGCAGTTCCCTTGAAAGACTGAGTGTTCCCTTGTTTAATGTGAAGGGAAAGGGGGACGATGACGAAGGAGGGGATGTGACTGCACAGGAGAGCAGGCAGAGGACAGTGGGCTGGTTGGTTCTCCCCACCCACGTGGTGTGGCCTGTCACTGTGGAAAGACTACTCAGATGTAACTCCCATTAAGTATAAATCTACTGTCCCCTCAAGGTCATATCGAGACCAGAATGGGCTCTGTGGCATTTTTTTGCACCGGGATGCTCACGACTGTCTTAATTTATTTTCATTTTCCTGCTCTGAGGCTTGTTTTGCTGTTTCCGGGGTGATCTCAGTCCCAAATGTTACTGTTTTACCTGGCAGGCCCCCGGACGCATTCCCGCCTGGGCCTTATGGCACGTGGAATGGGTTGGGGTAGGGGCTTCAGGAACACTGTTGGGTAAAGGCAAAATGAGTGAGAGTCAAGTTTCCTCTATGGGCCGCCTTTTTTTCTTAGGGCTGGGCTGAGTCCATCCATAATGAGATTTGTTTTTTAAAGAGAGAATTCCAGACGTGCTAGGCACACGGGCAACTTTGCAACTGATTTTCTTCTTGAAAAGCATGTATTGAACAGCCATTATGTGAGTGTAGGGAGTATTTTCTAGGTGGGGGATGTGAATTCTGCAGCTGTGCCCTCGGGCCTGACGAGCGGTCAGGCTCTGTGGTCACCAAAATGGCTGGATCTCCAAATTTCCCCTATCATTAGACAACGTGGAGAGGGCTGGAGTGCAGTTTCCTTCAGGGATGTCACCTTGGCTCAATGCTTTAGTAGCTGACAACATTTACCAAGGAGTTTCTCTTCTTGCTAGCATCGTATAAGTAAGCACCTAAGCTCCAATTATCTGGTGACACTTGTAATCAGGGCTGACAGAAACCTTTGCGGGGGTATACAAGGTAATGAGGAGGCTGCTTTGAAAGGTCCGCAGTTCTTAAAGCATATGTGTGCATGTCTTTACACACATACATATACGCATATCATACGTGTGTGTATACATACACATACATGTATCAGGTATCAGCAGGAAAGTCTACATTCACTGGACTCTGAGTTACCACATCCTCACAGCGCACAGGCCTGGCTAGGTTTACTGAAGATTTCCTGTGCTCCAGCAGTACAGCAGAAGACAGTGTCAAATATAGTTAGAGAGCAGATACCGTTCAATTGTACCATTTCTGAGAAGTTCTATACTCTTGACGGCCTAGAAACGCTTTACTTATGGGGGGTGGCACCAAAAAGGAACGTCTCCCCCAATTCCTGGGGCCAGGCTTATGTTAGCAATGTGTACTTAACGCATCGCTAAAGTGGATGAAGAAGGCTGCTTGATGCCATTTCTGAGCCCAAACTACAGCCACAAAACGTTGGGAAAGAATTCATGAAGTGGGCTGGTCAGAAACTGAAGCCTTTTTTCCCCCTCTGTACTTTAGATGTACCAGGGACACGAAGCTAAGGAGAGCTGGGTTCAAAATCTGACTCCAGGGTTTGCTAGCTGTGTAACTCAAGGCAGGAGGCCCTTCCAGGCCAGGTCTGTTTTATCATCTGCGATGGGGGCCTACTACAGGGCCTGGCTCACAGTTAGTTCCAACACAGGCCGCTTCCCTTCCGGGCCGTCGGAGCTGAGACTCCAAGCACTTCTTGGAACTGCCCTGGTTTGAATGCCATCAAATCAGAAGGACAAAGGCCCTCTCAGCCTCCAGGCACCCAGTATCTGGAAGGCAGCCAGGGGTTGGTGTTAGGACCCAATTCGTTCTGCAGACATTCAGTAGCCGCCGCCCTCGGGAGTCGAGGCAAAGCCTGCAGCCTGCATCCAGTCAGGGCAGGATTCAGCACTCTGCCTTTTACTGACCTGGCAGGAGGGAAGGCTCACCCTGCTGGGGCGTAAGGCTGAGCAGCACGCTCCGGCTCTGGGGGAGGCTGGTGCCTCCGCAGGAAGCATCCCAGCTCTTACATTGATAAATGCTGCCGGCAGGAACTCAGGAGGCTGGGCAGACGCTGCTGCACGGGGCTTAATGCTTCACTGGTTAAAGTTTTATCAGGTGCTGAAGACAGCAGGAGCCCATAAAGCAAAGCTGAAATCCTTTCTAACTGAAAGCAAAAGCGCTTTCCTGGAGGATCACAGAGATAGGATAATTTACTGAGACAGGCTGGCAGGTATTTTTATATTTCCGTTCATACCCATTGCATACCTGCTTGGGTTTCCCAAAGTACTAACATATGACCAGGTGTGGAGAGGCCAATGATCTGTTCACTGCTAAGATAAAGCTACTATTTAGAGAATAAAAACTAAGTATTTGGGAAAGGTGACACAAGCTTCCAAATCCTAAAGTCTCCTTACTCTTCTGATTTTTAAACTCTCTGAAGAGTGGTCATTGGTCCTTCTTTGGGTAGTGCTGATGGATATGGCTGGGGGTTGTAATGAGTGGTGTGCCAAGTTCTCTAGCCTGTGAGGGCAGATGGGTAAAGCACTGAAATTGTCTTAGCCATTTGTTGGCCACCAGTCTGAGAGAAAAGTATCTTTTTTTTTTTTTAAAGCCCAAACTCTTCTCAAATCTGTAAGTCCTGACATATTTAGTGAGCTCAGATAATCCTACCCCAGAAGTATGTATGCTCGGTAGCTTCGTGGCATCAAAGGAATAGTCAATTCACAGCATGCACAGCACTGAACAATGATATAAATAGGATTCTACAGGAAGGAAGTGCTTCCTTCTGCACACACTCCCATCTGGCCCGAAAGCTCTGTGCTCGGTACACAGGTCACAGGCAGCCAGGCAGGCAGGCAGAGGGGTTTCCCCCCGTGCAGGCTCCTTTGGCTCTGCCACAGCCACTAGAAGTCTAGGCCCTGAGTCAGCAGCAACGCCAAGGCTGCTCGGATACGGTTCCAACTGTACTTCTCAGAAACCAACAGCAAGACCATAAAGGCAGTCGAGGGGGAGCACACACCCCACCTGCAAATCACAATGACCTGCGAAACCTCCCATTTTATCTTCACTAAGTTTATGTGCATGAACATTCTATTTCATAATGGAACTGTGTTTGTCTTATCTAAAAATAAGGTCATCCCTTGATGCCAAACCATGTGTTAAGTGAAGCCTATGCTTCAGAAGACGCGGGCTATTTAGCTTGCAGTTTCGTATTCTCTAGGACATCGCTGCCCATTTGAGCATGAACTACTTGGTTGTCAGGGAACGTGACCCGGGGGTGGGGAAAGGCCGGAAGTCCAACCACAAGGCGTCTTTGCTCACGTTACTGCAGAGCAGAGAGCAGGGCGGGGGATGATGTGAAGGTTCGTTGGTGGGGAGCACCAAGGGAAGAGGGGTTCCAGCTGGAGCAGATGGGGCTTGGAGCTTGCTTCAGCACACCACAGTGACAAGAATTCTCCCACATTGCATTTAAGCCAGATTAGGCTGGGCTGGGGGACAGAGGGGAGCGCTAACCTACACTGAAAATTCCCATTTGGTAACATACATTCCAGCCTTTCACGTGACAGAAGATCCATAAACCCTGCAGAATTCACCCAGATAATTCAGGTTCCATCAGATCTTTTAGTGATTCTTTTGGAGACTCAGGCAATTTGAGTTCAGAAATTCTGACTCCAACTTTTAATCAGATGTCTTTGGTCCTCTCTTTTAAGGGTCATTGCCTTTCTGCCTCTTCAATCATTTTTTTCATTTCCACGGCACTGAATTATGAATCTCAAGTCCTGGATAACCTCGTGTACTAAAAATATCTCTCTATATTTCTAAATCTGAACTCTTTCTCCAACCCTGTTTTCAAGCCATCCACCTTCCTTCATGAAACACATTTTCACAGATGCATAACTGGACGTGAGAGACTATCTACTGGGTGCGGCCCCACTTTGCCAGCAGTTACTGCATGCTTCAGTATGAATGAAAAATTAGCATTTAGGGGAAACAATTCTGACTGCCCTTCAAGGTTATTCCAGATCCTTCCTAATGAGGAGCTACTGTTTGGGGGTACAATAGTACAGGGGCTGACTTTCCTGAGTAAGTTCAAAGCAGCCACTCAGGGATTCCGCAAGGACCCTTCTTAATTGCTCCTGGCTGACTGATCGAAGGGGCACTCTTCCTTGACCTACCAGGACTGAGAATGAGAAGCACACAGTCAGTGAGCATAAAAGGGTCATCCCTGGGAGAAACAGGTGCCTGCTGTGGAGCTGGGGACGGATCCGGTGGAAGGACGTATGTTGCTGGGCAGCTTTCACAGACATCAGAAGCCGTTACACACACGCCGTCACATACACACAGGGGAAGGAAGGATGTTCCACTGGGGATGGCAAGCCTTCAAGTGTCCTCTTCTTCACCGGCGCCACTGCAAGGAAAAGGGGAACCAGGTGATTAAGACGTCACAAGATGGGGAGGCAGCCTGGTCTCCTGGCTGAAGCACAGGCTCTGTCGCGGACACATCCTGATTCCAGTCCTGACCCCACCACGGCTGGGCGCTGTGGCCATGGCCGTTACCGAGACTCTCTAAGTCCTGATTTATTTCACTACAGGGGATAACGATGATAATAAAACCTACTTTTTTGGGTTACTGGAGGACTAAGTAAGGTAATACATGTAAAATGCACAGTGCCTGGTATACAATAAGTGAATAGCTATATAAAGGACTAGGTGAGGGTCAGAATATTTTTTTTTAACTTGCTTGACAAAAAAATAAGGAGTCTGATTTCCCCTAAGCCTTGTGCCATCTATTGTTAGGAGAGAACAAAAAGAAGCCATCGTCCTGCACTCCCAATGGCACTACTCACTTGGAAAGAAGCCAAGGTTTCAATTCACGCCACAGGGACAGTCACTGGGTTCCAATGTCACCTCTTCAGAGAAGGCACTCTATCTAAGTAGGAACCCTTGATTATTCTCCGCCTCCATCTATTTCTTTCATAGCCCTCAGCACATCTTATAAACTGTTGGCTATCCACTCTCTCCCCTACCCCTCACTACAGCATGAGTGGCGATACTGTATATTTTATTAATGACTGTTTATCTAGTACTAGTATTGTGCTAGGCACATAGAAGTGTTCGATAAATAGCTGTTTTTAAAAAGGGAGTGAGAAATAAAAGCAACGGGAAGGGAGGGAGGGAGAGGAAAGGAGAGAGGGAGTGAGGGAGGGAGTCAAAAGGCACCGTCAGTCACGACTGCCCTGGCCAGAGGACCCTAGATGTCAGGGATACTCCAGGGGCCCACAAATGAGCTTTGAGTCCCAGAGGATGGCTAGGAGCTCAGCGGCTCAGGGTTCCAGCCTCCCTGGCGTGGTCCTGGGAGAGAACATTGTTGATACAGGGACTGGGGCAAGAAGGCAGGGCCAGAAAATAAAAGGGGGCGGCAGCAAGCGCCCTAAGAAAGGCGAAAGCAGCAGACCCGCTCCGTTTCTCCTCCTCCACTTCCAGAGGCCACGCCCCCTAAAATTATACCCAGCGCCAACCTGGTCAAGCGCTGACTGTGCGCCGCCGGGGCACCGAGCTCAGCACTCCTCACCCACCCTCGCACTGCGCACAGCAGTCTTACGATGTGGGGACTTCTACTACCCCGTTTTCCATATGAAGAGAGTGAAGCTGTGAGAGAGGTGATATTCTCCTTCCATAGTAAGGTCTGTGCCCTTAAAACTTCAGGATTAGTTTTGGATGGATAAAGTGTGAAGTGGTTAAGCTAGGGTACTTGGAAAGGAGGAAAAAATCTCCTTCCTCCAGTAGAGACAGGAGCTAAGGGAGAGGGAAGGCTTGGGGTACACCAGCTCCCAGCTATGACCTAGAAATATTTATCTCACAAGGGATTATCAATGTCTATATAAAATCTGTGCTCTTTTACCTCCAATTGGGAAAGACATTAAAGGGGAAAATATCCTAGGCAACTAACTTGTAGTCCCTCTGCTCTGGGTGAAAATATTTCAAGACAACAGAGCCTGACATTAAGGTACGTGGACTGTAGGAGCCAAAAGCACCAACTCAGCAACCTTCACCACGCAAACCCTGCCCTACTTCCGTTCGCTTTTCCTGCCCATCGTCCAATCAGGGGATGAAGGGAAAGTGCTGGGAAGGGCTGGACAGTGGGTCATCATTCAGGAGCAGTACTTGGTGGCATCTGTCCCAAAGGGAACAAAGGGTCTTTCATGAACGCTTCTCACCACAATCAGGGCACAGTTGGAACTGGCGTCACATTCTCCCCCTTGGTATCATATCCAAAGCAAGCTCTTATTGTTCGCTCGTCAATTTTCCTTCAGACCGGAGAGGTCTAGCATGGCGACTGTGCCCTTCCCTTAAGCCATGGTTCACTTTTCAGGCATTCTTAACTTGAGATGCGTAGTTGAAAGGGTTCATGAACCTACTGAAACTGTATACAAAATTTTGCCTGTGTGTTCCTTTGTCTGAGAGAGGTCATAATTTTCATCATAGTCACAGAGAGGCCAACAACCCACCCCCACTGAGTCTAATGAAATTATAAATAAATTAAGTTCTTTTTGAGTTGCCAGGTTCTTTTACTATAAGACTTGTAGAGTTGGCATGAGGAAAAGGTCAGAAGCCATGACTGATAAAATCTTTTCTCATTACCCTAAAAGAGATCTCTTCTTGGGCCTGAAAGATATAATTCATCTTAAAAGCATGAGACCTTGGGATTCTGGCATATCATTGATTGATTCTTTCATTTGCTAAATATTTATTGACGGTCTACTGTGTGTTAGGCATGATGTTAGGCACAACAATGAGTAAGATAGACAGCAGTTCTCATGGGAGGGAGGGGTAGGAGATGGGAGAGAGAGAGGGTGGGAGAGAGGGAGGGAGAGAGAACGGGAGGGAGGGAGACAGAGGGAGGGACAGAGGGACGGAGGGACGGAGGGAAGTTTATTTTCCAGAACAGCATCTTCAAATACAGTATATTTTCATAATTACTGAATAACCTGTTTATCACAATGAAGAAAAAGAATCTGAACTAAATTTGGCACAGAGTTTTGTTTACCTTGTGTATGGTCTCTCCTTGAGGGTTAACAATATAGTGAGTGTGATCTATCAACTGCATGTTCCGTCTTCACTTTGTGTCCGTTCATAAGACTTTATCTTCCATTGTCTATAAAAGTCTTTCTCCAAGGGAAGTAACACAGGTCCCACGTCAGCCACTTATTGCCCTATGAAACATCTACCAGCCACACGTAGACTTATAATGGGAGTGGTACTCAGAGATTTCTGAAATTCTTTTCAATGTCTGTTTTGCTGTTGTTGTTGTTGTTGTTGTTTTGAGAATGAACTAAGGGTGTTAGAGAGCCAGCCCATTCTATAGTAGGTATTTATGTAATCGCTTTGAAGTCACCAGACTCAATAAACTAGGTTTGAATCCGTGCTCTGCCACTAGTGAGCTGTGGGACCTTTAGTGAGTTACGCAACCTCTCTGAGTCTTGTTTCCTCATGGTAATACTATCTATATTAACAGGGTTACTGTAAACGTTCTATGTATTTTATGCAATATAAATGCAATATAAATGACAAATGCTGGCTCCCTTCTTTGGCTTCCCTTCCTTCCTGAATCAACACCCTGCCTCTTCCTAATTTCCTGTCAATGTTCCTAGCTTTGGCATCTAAAACATTACATTCCAGAGTGAAGTATGTACTTATCCCCAAATGCCCTTCAAAGATCTAGAGAGCAACAGTGTCTTTCTTTACCTGCTTGGAGAGTTTTTTATGACAACTCCAGACATAATGAAATACAGGTACTAAGTAGAAAGAAGGCCGATTTCTATGGTTCTAGCCCTTCTACTTGACAGGTCTGCAGGAAAGTCGGCCCCTACCAAACTCTGGTGAGGACGCGTATTGTGTGATGCCGAGCTTAGCAGGTCTCAGTCACAGGCTGATCTATTTTGTGAGTGATATTATATCTAAAAGCAGTGTTTAAAATTGGGGTAACAATGACTGTTCCAGGGGGTACTGGGCATGGGTAATTTTAAGAACATAAGCATCCAGATCCTTAACTTCCATATATATTCTTTCTTCTT